TCCTGAACCACAGTCATCCCATCAATAAAACAGAATCCGTAACACCTACCTCAAGGGCTGGTACATGATTAAATGAGATAACATATATGCTGTGGCTCATAACAATATAAAATACTAGCTACGATTCCATTTAATTCTCATTTTTGCGTCTTCTTAGGGAACAAAATTAACTTGCAAGCATATAAAATTGTGGGTTGCTCCAGCTAATTAGAAAAGAGAGGCAGTGCATCTCTTTTCACTATCCCGGTTCTAATATAGCCTTGCTCGCCATGTGACTGTCTTCAACTCAGTTACTCTGCTGAGAAGGCAAAATCACCAAGTGGGTGAGCAGCGAGGTAACGTTTCCAAAGGAAGGCATTAAATTAAATTATTAAACACACACAAGTAGGAGTAGTAATGTAAGAATTTTGAAAGATTCACAAGGAAAGGAAGTAGAGCCAAGGGACTATTTCTGGTGTTCCGATTCTAGAAAACTCTGAGCGGCTATTATGGCTATTTATTAACCCACAGCATCATAAACCGTAACCCTATTAAAAATGATGAATGAGTCCTCGGTTCCGACTTTTAAATACCAGTTCGCAGGGATTTTAGAAGGCCCACCTGGCCCTGCAAAATTTTGCAAAGTCTTTGGGCAAAGAGCATCATGTCAACCTGTGATCAGATGGGATTCTATCAACTAAATCCAAAATGATCATGTAAAAAGGAATTTAAAGGAAAGAAAAGACATGTAGTGATTTAAATTCTGCTGACAGATCTGAAGCATACTTTCCTGGAATCAGATGGGCAGCCCCCAGCATCACTGTTTGAGGCTGAGGGGTTCACAGGGTGGGCACCACCTCATGAGGCACCTCTGGCTGCCCCCTCAACACCCACACTCCCCCCAGGCACTTAGAGAAAGGCGGTCTTCGGGCAGACAAATGAGACAAAGTCTCGCCCTCACAACAGGAGGCCCCTAGTGAGAATGAGGCAACGGCCTTCATTGCTTAGAGAGTCAAGAGTGAGCTCCTCCAGCTACTCTGGGGGGCCTTCGATCCTTTTTGTGTTTTCAAGGAATCCTAAAAGGCTTAGACTCCCTTTAAGGAGTAGAACTTTGTGTCTTTCACCCAACCTGTTACAATTGTTGTATTTCAGCTCTTCTACCCTCAAGCTTAAAAACTAAGTCAGTATCCTCTGTGGAAGGGGGGTGGGGTGGAGGGGGAAAGAAGCCCTTCTATCTTCTCAATAAACATCCTTGTGTTTGCTCTCCTAGTAGAACAGGGTGGTTCCAGGAACCTGTGTTGGCAGGTACCAGCCTGCACATGTGGGCAGTGAGGAGGCCAGACCAGGACAGCATGGGGCTGGCCCTTCTCCCCTTTGCTCACCTCCTTTCCTAGGCCCAGAGTACCCCACCTGGCCCTATCAAGCCCTCTTTAATCACCCCTTAACACTTTGCTCCATTTACCGTTTGTTTTTATCACAGGCCGGTAGAAGGCATTACTTTCTACTTCTCAATTGCTTGCTAATTTGTCACACGCCTTCCGTTTGGGCATATAGCTCTGCCTTTGCAGAACAAAATGGTGAGAAACCCTCAGTATGAGAATCTTAAACATTATCACCCCTACTTTCCCTCCAACCAGGAAAGGCTATATTTTGACTGCAGAATGGAAAGAGAAAAAGAAAGAGTTAAGAGAGAAGGTTTTTCTGCAGATCAATGAGGACAAATGGTGAAAAGAAGCTACTTTGACGCATACCAGTCTGGTAAGTATCTCTTTAAGACAAGCAGCTAAAAATGCTTTCAACCTAGCAATACCATAAATGTCCTGCTGCTGTCTTGGCTTCCAGATTCTTCCCCGTACTTTCCATGAGCATTCCATTGGGAATTGTCTGGAATCCCAGATTAAAACAGCAATAACCCAATTCCCTTGTTAGAATATTTATTTTCTTTTAGGTTTGGAAACCCAGCTGGGATGCATCTTCCAGTATACGGCACAGCCTCAACCATCCTGGGGGCTACATGAGAGCTTTCTCAAACAGCTCAATGGGCAGCCGAATCCTGGAACAGGAGAGTGGGGCAGGCGGCTCAGACTCATGTGGAAAGCCCCAGCTGAGGACAAACAACAAAAGCCTGGGAACCTCCATTTGCACAGGATTCATTCCAGATGTCGGAACCAACAGGGCTCATGCAGATTACCCAGAAGGTTTCTAGAGTCAGGCTGCCAGACAGAAGGCATTGCCCTGACCTGAATCCATATTCTATCAACTGATTATATCCTAAAGTCAGCAGTAATATGCTACAATCCTAGATATGATAATCCTAGATGTGATAATCTATGTGGGGATCCATCCATCCCTCCATCCACCCATCCGAGGGAGATAAGCAAACTATTCAACAATTCACTGACCGGTTAGAAGATTCCAGCCATAAACCATTCTGGCCACTACAGCCACACGGGTGAATCCTGGCTAAGTGTCAAGCCCAAATTCATCCATCTATCCAAAAACTATGTATTGAACACACTTACATAGTGGCACAACAGGTAAGAGCCTGGCTCTGGGGTCAGACAGAACTGAGTTTGAATCCTGACTCTCTCTCTTACTAACTGTGTGACTTTGGCAGGTTAACGTAAGTTCTCTAATCCCTAAATTCCTTATGTCTGACATGGGTAGAAAAAGAAAGATCTACCTTACAGGTGCTGCTGGGAAGAATTAAATAAAATAATTTACATAAAGGACTTCACACAGTGCCTGGTCCAGAGTTATCCTATGACAAATATTAGCTATTACAATTGTGTGCTAGGCACAGGGAGTGGCCCAGTCGTGGCCCGTGAGGAAACTGTCTACTCCAGAAGAGCGTTGGCACGGAAGAGACAGTTCCAAGTGCGGAGAAAGAGTCCTTCAGTGAGATCATGATATGTTAAAGGTAAGAGGGCCAGGAAACCGTCTCTTGTCCCATCACCATCTTGTATGGCAGAACTGGGTATTATCGTGCCTGACTCACGTTCCAACAGCTCGTTTTAACAGCAGAACTAGTTAAGAATTAAGATCCTCCGGTTCGGTGTGTGTCTTAGCTGGTTTTGCCATGGTTACTACTTGTGGGGAGAGAGTCCCGTGTGGTAAAAGAGCTTACAAGAGCAAAGGCATCCAGAGGTGAACCAAGAGTTGGGGCTTTCTTGGGGCAGATGTCTCAAAGCCAAGGGATGAAAAGCTATGAAAGAAACTTCAGCCTGTTTGGGACAAGGGTTCACACGTTTTTTTTTTTCCCCCTCTGTACTAGATGTGAAGCTCTCAAAGGGCAAGGAGTTTGGTCTGCTTCGTCGATTTCTGTACCCCTGGCATCCAGGAGAGTGTTTGGTGCAGCACAGTGCTGAATAAATAAACAAATGAGATTAGATGGTAAGAGTGTTCTGCAAGGCATGACCATGTTCGACGTGGAAGCGAATGCTCCCGAAGCGAATATACTACTGGCCACCGGACAGCTTCCGGAGGAAAAGATGCTATTCCCTGACTGTGGTGCCTTTTCCAGTCCTGTCTACTCTACTGGTGCCACAACATTCCAGTTTACCAGGGACAATGGTGCCCGCAGTCGTGACCCGGGCACCTCTACAGTCCCCATCTCATCTTGTGGAGAAGACGGTAGAGCGCAACTGTGCCCTTTACCTCCTTGCCCAAGCGAAGCTGGAATGTCCTGCCTGCGACTCGTAGCGACTTTGTAAATACCATCGGACACGGCAAGCTGGAGGAGGGGACGGATTCTCACGGCCCTCAAGTCCTCGCCAGAAGCCCGGCAAGCGTCCTCACCGGAGGAGAAGGAATAAGCCAGCAATATTCCCCCAGGATTTCCCAGCAACACAGTCACCTGATTCCCTGAATTATCACAGGGAGAGGGAAGAGAAGCCCGCATCCTCTGTCCTTTTGTTCTCCACTTTCAGCAAGCAACCTTCTGGCTTCTGAGGAGAGACGGGATGAGAGGAGGCGAACATCCCGGGGAGCATTACCATGCCAGAAAGAGATGGCAAGCACAACCGTGCGTGCCACCACGGAAGTCTGAGGAATCAGCTAGGGAAGGGCCAAGGTGACCCCCCGTGCTTCCTACAACCTGGACTTGAGCCCTCAGGGCAGTATTCAAGCCAGGAAACCTGGCATTTTCTTGGACACTGTGATCAGGGTGGGAATCAGGTGACTCATTCTCCCCAGCTGCCCCATCACACTGTATCATCTAGAGGCTGGGTGGCAGCACAGGAAAGGAAGACGAAAAGGAAATGACAGGTGTCAGCTGCTTTGGAGACTGGCCCCAACAGCACAAGTGTGTTGGTGCCGATGCTCTGCCAAGCTACAGATAGGGAGCTGGTAGAGGCAAGGGGCAGAGGTGACCTGAGAGAGAGGGAGGTGGAAGGACCACAAAGACTGCGGCCGTGGAGGCAACGCAGGCACAAGAGAAGCAGGAGAGGGGAGCAAAAGAAAGGACAGGAGTGAGAGGCCCTATCTGGGCAGTAAAATGAAGGAAAGAAAAGCAGCCAGCATGAAACAAACAAACAAACAAAAAAATGGCGGGGAGGCCCTCCCTGTAAAGAAAGGAAGAGCACACAGCCTAAAAGCAAAGCAGGGAGGGAGTCTGACTCAGAAACTGCCCCAAATTTAGGGCCTACGAAAATCCTAGAGGAGTTACGGGTGAACTCAGGAAGAGAGGCAAACTTTCCAAAAACGTTCACTTTGCCTCTTAGGAGAAGTAGTTGACCTTGCTACATGGTGCACACTTCCAGATTTGGGGGTAATGTGTCAACAAGGGACAGGAGTCTCAAGCTTTTCGAAGCCATCAATGCGGGGGGAGAGGGGTAAAAGACCGCGAAGCAGCTTCCCACGGTGGACATCAGGAGTGCCACCCATCTCAGAGCTTGCCAATCTCCTGCCTGAAGCCCCGTCCTCGCGCGGGCAACCACGCCCCTCTCAGTCAGTCTGTCCTTCTGGCCCTGGGGCGGTCTGTCCTCCCTCCCACCCCCGCGCGCATGCGCGCCAACACTCACGCAGGTGCGCGGGCAGGCGGATCGAGTCGTCCTCCATCCTGAGCGCTCGGGGCACTGGAACATGAAGCGGAGTCGAGGACGCGTAACTCGGCACCGGGCTCTCGGGAGGTGTATATGAAATTCGTTCCTGCTGTTAACAAGAAGGGCAGGAAGAGGGGAGGGGGAAGAAGACAATGAAAGCTTGGAACTGACTTAGGTGTGAAAACAGCGCGCAGGGTGGGGGGCAAAAGGGAGAGGGGGCATCTGAGCACTGGCCAACCGGGCTTCACATCATTCCCGCTCGCCCCCTTTCCAGACACTTCAGTTGTCTTCCAGATCCCCAGCACTTGGGGTTTGTAACAAGGTTGTGGAAAGGCTTAACACAGGGCTTCTCCTTTGGACTCAGGTCAATGGGTGTCCGTTTCCCCTCCCCCTGTACTAGAGGTTTGTTCAAGTCAAGAGGGGAGACAAGGCGGAGGAAATGAAACCATATGTCCTAGAGAATGGCTTTAAAGACTACTCTCAAAAATTACTTGTCCAAGTCACATAATTAATGTCACCCATACATTAAAACCACGTTTCCTCTTCTCTGGCAATATCCCCGGTTCCTAATGCAAATATGATTCTGTACTCAGATCCAATGAGAGGTGAGCTGAAAGTGATGGCTTGTAAACTCCAGATTTAGTTAATAAATCTACAAACTAGATTTTTCTATGGCCTACCTATCTCATTAGAAACCAAAAATATCCAATGTTTTTTTCCTTCATAGCAGGGAACTATCTGCAACATTAACAGTATCTCCTTGTCCCTTCATTTTCCATCTTAGACACATGCTTCTTTCCTTCTGAAGTATTTCAGAGCTCATTCAAGAATTGTCTGCATTTAAGGAAAGTGCTGTTTAATTGAAGGTACTTAATTCAACTGACAACTGCAGACCCACTGTTTAAATTCAAACAGGCAGTGTTTGTTAGATCAATTAAAACAACTGGATGGGATGAGAAGGATTATTACTAGCTTCAAATTAAAACACAGCAAATAATGACAAGGAACCAACTATTATGTTGAGCTAGAAGAGCAGTACAATTTGCATCTCAAATCTATATACCAACTACTTTGACTTAAAGTCCATACATAAATAAACATAACTTCCATTCGTTTCTGTGGTTCAACTGGGCAAAGCAAAGTGGGACATACAAGGTCCAAAAATAAGTTGGGGGGAAAGATCAGGAAGATGCCATTATGAAAACAAGAATCAGGAGCAAAAGAAAAATTGCAGATGAAAATAAAGCAAAGGGGGTGTTTATGTTTTGGAAAGACAGTTCTCTAACATTTTATACTTCATCAAATGTGCAGAAGGGAAGCAGGGGAGTCCCCCTGGCTGTATAACCAAATTAAAGCTTTTCTTCTGCTCAGAGCCTGGAAAGTTTGGTGGTTGTGGTAGGAAGTTTCAATTTTAAATGAATATATACATATTTCTGTAATTTCCGAATGGAATTGCTATACCTTCCCTGAGGCATCCTCTACCAGCAAAAAGGGCACTTGGAGTATTTCCGTTTAAACATACATCCTAAAGTTTCCTGGTGAATTTCTTAATTAAAGGCAGGCGTATACACCCTAGATTTCATTTCTGTATCAATCATGATGTCCTGTGAAAGGTCACCCAGAGACAAAACCTTCAACTTCACTTTTATTGAACTTTACCAACCATCACGCATATTTTGAGCAACTCTAGCTTAAGGATGAGTTACAACTTTTGGTGTTTAGTTTGGGGTTCAAGGGGTGAAAGAGTCAAAGACAAAAACACACCTTTGGGAAACATACAGTCTGCTTAGGGGGTTTTCAAAGAGAGATAGGCTTTTTAAACATTTTAAACGCAGTCTGTTTTTCTAGTTTAACACACTTCAACCCTCAAAAAAAAAAAAAACAAAAAAAAAAAAACAAAAAAAAACCAGTCCCAATATATGTCTAGATATCTTATCTGCCGTTACATTTATTCCCAGAAATAGCTTTGTTTTGTTAGGGTTTTTTGCAGAAGTGAAACTGTTGATGAAGAAAACATTGTGCAGCCCAAGAGTTTTCAAATGGCATGGCACGAGTGCGAGAAAAAAAAAGGAAGACGGCATTTCATAACACGATGACTATCTCTTAAAGCAAGGAGAAACTCACCAGATCCTGCAACTGGTCCCTGTGAGTGAGAGGCCACGTCATCCCAGCTCCCTCACCCCTCACCAAACCCATCAAAGTCAAAAAGGGGAGAAAACCAGGCCTCAGAGCAGATTTTACTTGGTTTCTTGGGAAATCTAGCGCTAGCCGACTGATAGGAGTCAAGCTAGGTATCACCTTTCAAGTGTATATATTCTGATTTGCTAAATTACCACCGTTGTACCTTCTCAAGAGGCAGCCCCCGGTGTGTGTGTGCATCTGAGTGGTTGCCTGTCCTTACTGCTATACTGAAAAGCCACACTTCAGTGTTTGCCCTGGGATTCTATAACACCCCCATGTCCAAACAATTCTAGACGGAGACAGCTTCTAGATTCTCATTCCAGACGACGGTTTCTACTCAGCAACATTGCAACACCTTAAGCTTGGGACGGGAAGCTCTTTTTAAAAGATTGAACGAAGATACCTGCCAGCAGCGGGAGAGAGGGTATTGACCAAGAGGGGGGTTGCAGCAAAATGCACTTCTAGGGCCTTGAGCATTTTGCTAGCAGCCATTATACACCTACCCTGACCCTGAGTTCAGCAGCCAGTAGAGCCCTGAAGGGACCCAAGAAAGGACACTGCCCAGTATGTGGGCTCCTTTCCTAACAGAATGAAACACACACCTGGAAATCTCACACTGCAGGCTTTATCTCTCTTTTTGTTAATTTCTAGGGCAATTCACATGGTTCACATTTTTTCATCTATTCCTATAACCATACACTTAACATCTACAAGGCATAACCAGCAGACTATCAGCAATTAGAAATAGGAAACAAACACCACTATCTCAGACGGAGACATCTAGACCGAGAGGCTTAAGGAGACTAACATCCAATTTCTCAAATAAAAGAAACCTCTTTATCCTCACAACTGCTTCTGTGGTCCGACCCCAACAAAGAGGAGGGGAGTACACACGAAGAGCTCAGTCACCTCAAAAGCAAATTGTCAGTCGGGTGAAAACCAGAGGTGTTTTATTTTAACATTACAGAGGGGATAACAATTTTTCCCAAGAGGATTACAACCACTGCTCTAATTAAATTAAAATGCTACAGACAGTGATATTAATGCATTCAAGTGTTGTACGGGATAAAATGAATGCAACATTAATGCATTCATGTTGACGGAGGTCAACGATGTGACTGAAAAGGCCGTGATGTGGTTACATTATTGTTTAGATGCTAAAAAAAAAATAAAGAAAACGTGCTGCTCTCAAATGTGCAGACACAACCTATCAAACCAACCTGCAGAAACAAAAGGGAAGCACTGCCATTTCTAAGACCAACTGTAAAACCTAAGGGGGGGCAGGGGGCAGCACAAAGCTCTGAAAAGAGAAAGAAGGCTAAAAATAGTTTTAGGCAAGGGATGAAATGTAAATTTCACCAACCATTATAGAAAGCTTTTCTTTTCTTCTTTTTCTTCTTTTTTTTTTTTT